TTTAACTTTATGACTTGGAATTTCTACGATAATATCCATTCAATTTACTTCCTTTAAAGTGTATATACATGTTAATTTTTAAAAAATCAAACATTTTATCAACATTTTTAACTTGTTCCTTTTTGCCTTTCTGAACTGCATGTTCTGTGGAATATGTTTAATTTCTGCCATACCCTCCCAGCCCAGTTCTAGGACATGCTGTTACGTGTTCTGGTATTTAGGTTATAGAATTTTTGCAAGTCACTGCGGAAGCTGGCAAAGGTACAAGGCTATGTCAGCATTCATGAGCAATGAGGGAAATTTATTTCTCAGAGAAAAGTCTAAGTTTTTCCCCTGGCAGAAGGAGAAAAAAGGAACCTTTATAGACTAGGCTAGTATATCCTTATGAATAAGTAGATTTCCACAGAATCTGTAATCTCCATCAACTTCCATTATAAAATTAAAAATACTGTCAGGAAAAACATCACCCCAACACCCCTGAGTTGACAATGTCAACGAGGAAGCCCTCGGTTAGCCACTATCCAGGAGGTACACGGCTCAGTGACTGGTGGTCAGGGTTCCCCACTGGCCATCCCCTCTCCTTGGCTGCGCGCGGACTGCAGAGTGCCCCCACCATCCCCCAACCTCCAAGAAGCCCTCCACGACTCCTCGCAGGCCTGAGTACCTCTCTGGCAGAAATGCTGGGACCTACTGTGCTCCTTTCCCTTGGCTCTGGCCTTGACATCTCACAGCGTGGGGCTGCAGTACCACATTTGTCCAAAAGGGGACTCCAGCTCAACACAGCATGCTCTCCAGCCCCGAAGCCCCAACTTCAAGGCTCCACATTCTGAAGAACAGATTAGCTCTACATTTTACCAGTTCTATAATTTCAAAGTCCACATATTGAGTTTACTTATGAGAGCTATCTATACAGTTAGGCCTCGGGGTAGAAATGTAATTATACTTGTCATGTGTGCTCAGACTGTCTAAACTATCTAAAATTGGGACTGTGCATTATACATTGATAGTGGCACAGCAAATTAGCTCAATCTTTCTGGAAAACAATCTGGCAACATGTAACAGAAGCTATAAAGTCGTTCCTGCCCTTTGACTTGTTAATCTCACTTTGGGGAAAATGCCAAAGGAAACAACACAAAATAATTTGTTTTAAAATGTTCATGCCAATGACATTTTCAGTAATGAAAAATAAAAATATTACTGACCCAAACGGTCAAGAATAAGAGAATTATAATCACGATGTTACATCACTATACACTAAAGCTATTAAAAATAAACACTAAGTGAATCATATCATTACACGCCAATATATACAAGAAATAATTTAAGTTAAAAACTAAATATATTGATAAATAGATGTATGTTTAGAAGTGAGTCTGAAAAGATACAAATGAGATTTTAAGGTTAATTAGTCCTTCTTTCCTGTAAATTGATCTAATAAATAAAAACAAAGTAATTTTGTACTAATGTCTAAGAAAAGGATCAAAACACGGAGTTAAAAACAATAATTCTCAGAAATTCCTAAGCAATATAAATTCTCAGAAATTCCTAAGCAATATAAATTTTTACATATGCATAGGTATTTATACTATATGCATGCCTGTAAATATTTATAAAATATCTAAATATATATATGTAATATAGACCACAACTATTTACATGATCGCAAGCTACATTTTTCTCATGAATTAATCTTTACTTATTTATTCAAATGCAGTCCTCTGCAAAAAGACCTACTTTTGGTGGGGGTGGGGAGGGCGGTGGCTATGAAAAACCTAAAAAAGATTTCATTCTGAGATTTTTATATGGAATGTAAACTATTCAGCAGCTTTTAAAATGAAGCATCTCTCTCTACCCCCCTTTATAGAAGCTCTTCTACTCCGCCTTCCGGGTTCATGGGCAGAGAAACATGAAAACAGAGCTGTAATAACCCACCAGGATAGAAGGTTTGTTGATCATTTGGAACACAGCCCTTTACTCATTCCCGTCCCTGGCCTGGAGGTTTTCCTGCCTAGAAGATGGGTGTGTTACAACCAGGGCCTGTGAGTCATGGAAAACACAACGCTCAGCAAAGTGCTGATTATGCCTGTGTTGCCACTTGTCCTTAACCTCCCTCCTTAGGTGTCAGGACCCTCCCAGGCCACCTCCTTCCCCCTTCCAGGCAGGCACACCCATGACCTGCTTTTACAAGTGGGCTCTCCGGGCCCACACCCTGGGCCTGGTTCCCATCCTGACAGGGAATGCCTAGGAAACTTCTTGGCTAGAGCACAACTGGCATTGAAGTGCCAAAGATCTTCTGTTATGATGTCCCAAGTTAGCTGCCCAGGTGGTGTCACGGTTCTTTCAGTTTCTGTAAGCTGATTCCTGATGTGACCTCGATTTTTCCTTATTCTTTCCCTTGGGTCCTCTTCTCACATCACTCCCACCGAAGTCCAATATTCCTGGGCCCCTGATTTCTGCTTGCTGGGATCTACTATGATCCATGATCTCACGCTGCTTCCCCAGGCCTGGCCCACTCCTCTGATTACCCTCTATCTTATACTCTCAACCTTCCCTCCGATTCCCCAGCTCTGGCTGCTTCTCAGCTACATACTCTCAGGCTCAGGGATTCAGTTAAGGGGAAAAAACACAATTATGGTGGCTGGAGAGATACAAGTAGGAAAACACAGTTTGCAAATATTTCCTTTACGAAACAATTTCCTTCGTTAGGCTAAATAGCATTTAACAAACTGATCAACCGCCGATAAACCCCACGCTCATTAAGTCGCTCATTAAGTATGTAAGCCAGCTGAGATCAGATACAGCACTGTAAATGGTTTACCAATCATAGCTAGGCATTTGTTGATCTACAAACTTTAACATACATAAGCTGGTGTGTGTGTGTGTGTGTATATGTATATATATATGGATCATGAGCCTAGATCACATATTGTGACTCTAAAAAGAAAAAAATACACAAAAAATAAAGAAAAAAGAAAAAGAAAAAAATACACAAAAAATCAATAGTGTGAACAATGGTATACAAATTATCATCTGACCAATACAGCTAAATTTTAACCTAACTTCAAAGTCATTTGACCTATAAATATGAGGGTCATTGGAGATCAATAAGATGAACAAATAGCATATTTCTTTCATTAAGGAATATCAGCTACTGCTCTCCTTAGCTCCAATGATGGCCCCCCACCACTCAGTGATAATGGGCCTGAATTTCAAATATTCACAAATTCTAAATAGGAAGTTCAAATGCTTTCAGAATGAAAGATATACATAAATCACATAATCACACCTCAAGCTAACAAATTATTATTCTTCATGATAAACACAAGTGTTTCTCTGATGGAGCTTTGACTCCATCTGACTATCATTCTATTTCTTATACACATGCATATATCAGTAGATGACTATTTATACTACTTTGGT